AATCATTAGAGTCAAGTGCAAGGTTGTGGTCAGTTGACTGTTCTGAGTCTGGTTCGTGTGAAGTGAGTGGTTAGTTTAGATGTGCTGTCATTGGCTATAAAGAATAAAGTGGTGTAAGTCAGTCGTGATTTGTCAGTTTCGATCACCTCGGTAAAAGTAGGTCGTTGTGTTCGGTTCGTTTGAGGTGTAAATGTGATGATAAGTCGTTGGTATGGTGTCAGTAGCCAGCCACTACCTACAACAGTCCTTTTTAGGGCAACTTTCACCCGGACGGTCATCCAAATTCATTTCCTCTTCACCTTGACCTACAGCCGGTTTAGTAAATGATTTTAGGGTTGTATCCATTAGGACCATCAAAACATTTTATATCTTGACGAAGTTGTTTCTATTTTGTTTTATAAGTGTAAGATACAGTCACCTAACACCCGAGTCCTTTAGAGAGGATGATCCCAGGGCTCTAAACCCAGTAACATGAACATATTCAGATGCTCCATGATGTCTTTTACCGTTTTTGGTAAAATCTGATACTCTCGTTCATTGTTGCAAATAGGAGCGGATGACACAAAGTAACTGCCTAACTCTTCTTGTTTTGATTCAATCAGAATAAAATTTAGCATGCCTCGTAAGCGTTCAAACAGTTGTTCATTGCTCCAGAATTTGTCATCGGAAAACTTTTCCAATTCGAAGAGGAACGCAGTTTTTAACATGTAAGAAGTGAGCACTGAGCGGTCTCCGTCGCGGTAATGGTCTCGGAGGAACTTTGCACATCTGTAGCAGGTGAGACGATTGCTCTCAGGGCCAAACATTTTCAAGATGTGCATCTCAGCAACTGAAAACGAAGCCCGCCAGAAAATAAACGTAGGGACTAAGTGAAACCCAAGTTTCACAACTTCCTTGAGATATTTGGGGTATGATTCCTTCCAATCCTCCGTCGAGCTTGTTTTGTTACATGGATTGGTTGTCGCTGATAAATCTGTCCATTGAGGCCAATGGAAAAACTTGATAGCAGGTGTAATATCGACATAAACTTGCAACCTCCTGTATTTCTGCCCTCTCCAGGTTAGAACCAAAGTAACTGCAGGGCCTTTCCGGCAGCCTTTAACAATTCTTTCCCAGCACTGAGGAAGTGGATCAGTAATTCTCAGAGCCTTGTTCAATGTTTCGAAAAACGCATCGTGAAATGATGTCGATGACAGGTGCGACAAATCGGAAAGCAGGTCACGAAAAAGCGTGGATGCTAAGAAAGGACATGGTCGCACTAACGCGCGACCTGGGTACGCACTGTCCCAAATGGAAGTGCAGGCTCCACGAAAAGACAGAACTTCGATTTCTGCCATGAAGTCAAACTCATTCGGTCCCCCAACTTTCGTTCCCTCGTAGAAGCTTCCACTCGGGATAGTTTTACAGATAAAACGGCTGTCTAGTTTTCCGACGCATTTAAGCAAGTCTTCGACGAAAGTTTCTACAGCGACCTGTATTTGCTTGGTTTCTCCCTCTCGTTCGAGCGGGCGTCCAAGTTTAGCCAAGGGAGCTGCAGATGCGCTATCCTTAGTCCGTAAGCATGGTAACCGTGAATCATCATCCAAAGTACTCTCTAACCTCAAGTTGTGGACATGCGACATCAGAGATGGCATTCCACCATCATAATCGTCTGGGTTAATCGAACCAAACCGAGGATGCATTGCCGAAGATGACGTGAACAACCCTTGCCAAAGTTCCTACTTCCTACGTATATGTATTTAAAACAAAAACCAACTCCGACTTTCCCGTTTCGATTTCAGTTTCATTATGGTAAACAACTTCGTTCCCACGGTCGTCCGTTTACAAATCAACATATTCATTAAACCGCAATGTTTTCCTTCGCTACAGATGATTAGCTAATTAATTAGTAGAAGGAAAGTATTCATATATTTTCTAACCCATGTTGGTAAACTCTTTTTTATTTGTTATTGATAAAAGTAAAATAGGTAATTGATTAGTATATCTATACCACAAGTTCTAAACTCAACATCTGTATCTCTGTTGAATTCACGATAGGTGAGTATGGAAATTAAACAAAATTCAATAACAGCTTAATACATATATTTTTTACGGTTAAGTGGGCTACTTTCCCTCAGTAGGAAAACATAGCAGTTACACTACTTGTAAAGTAAGACCGCCATGGAAATAGGGGATAATGACATCTAGCTTATTGTAGTTTCATTAAGTGAGTTATGAAAATATATTTTTCCACTCATTTCCCCAACACCAAAATAATGAAGCTCTTAAAATGCTTCTAAATAGGATATGCGTTAATTTTATTGTTTAACAATACTTAAAGGTATTTTGAATGTACCAGCTTCAAATGTGTGTAAAAATATGGCACAAGTCACAAGTGAACATTAAAACAACAACAAAAATAAAAATATCACAGGAACACTTGGATTTTGGTGGCCACTAGTGTATGGAGAGACCCAGTAACAGATCCAGAAAGATGATCACACCCCCTCCCCGACACTGCGCCATCAAATTTGTGATTCTTTTTATGAAAAGAGTCTGTAAACAAAATTCTTGCAACAACAAGATTGCATGTTACTACCTAAGATGAAGTATGTAAAATTTAATTAACTCGAAATTTTCTTAAAATATTTATTTTAGGACTAAAGGTTAGGGCTCCATTAGTTCACTCTTATGTTGCCTTTTCAGTGGTGTTTCTTGAGACACAAGTCCGTTACAACTCTACTCAAATTGACGGTGCGGTCATATAAGGCTTGTGCAAGGGCACAGTAAGAGGCATTCTTCCCATTTTTGTTCCTCCATGCTCTTAGTATTTGATAGGACTGCTCGGGTGCGTCTTTTGGGTTTTCCTCCTCGATATCATCCAATCGATCATCTCTTAACCCAAGTGCTCTGCCGAGTCTTTTGCGTTTTCCCTTAACGTCATGAGATATGGCTTGTAAAGCTCTGTCATCAATTGGTCCTTCCTTCAGGTTCCTTGCTTCATATTGAACAAACCAGAAAAAACACGTATAAGTGGAGATATGTAACTTATGATATATTAAAAATAGACAAGTAAAGTGAACTTCTTTGCGAAAAGGTTTAAGTTTCCTACAGAGGTTCAGAATATGTACTCAACTGGACATAAATGCACGACTGTCAACCACCATAACATAATAAGATGCCACATTCAG